ACAGGGCAGTTCTAGCCTGCCCTATAGGATCACGATGAGTCAGTATTGACTCAATGGCAGAGAGAGAGGTTTTTTTTTGTAAAGACTTTCACTATTCTTTGCCAGCACTTGTGAGTTTTTCATACTATGGTAGCTTGCATATTGCTATGATACTAGAAGCTTTGCCACTAGGATTTCAAATACCAGTGTCACCTATGGTAGATAGGTTTCCACAAATCCTCCTAACTAAGATAGCTTAGGAACAAAGGTCTGATGATCTGCTTCAAAAAATTAGCCAATGAAAACGTTATGGCAAACAACAGGTCGCTGTCCAATAAAGTACTAGTAGATGAACCCCCTAGGTAAGAGGGCACTAAACAACAGCGGCAACAATGCACTTTGATGCACCACTGATCGGGAAAATGTTGCAGGACAACAATGGACTTTGATGCACCACTGATCCGGAAAGTGTTGCAGGACTGAGCAAGTTTTGATCTGTTATACACAAGGTTACCATGAGTCAGATCCAATGCAATGACAAGTAACTAGAGAGAACCTTTATTCACAGAAGAAATTTAAATGGCTGGCAAACATATGAAAAGTACGTTGAAAAATCTACAGGCTTATCACTCCTGGTTTCATATGCCCAGGATTGATGAATCTATAGAGGCAGCAAGTAGAATAAAGGTTCCTGGGGGGTACAGTGGGGAAAGGGGAACTGATATCAAGGAGTTCAAGAAGGAAGAGAATGTTTTGAACATTGGTTGTAGTAGCAGTTGTACAATACTGCTTGATATGATTGAACTATGGAATGATATATCTGTATTATCTCATAACATAATTTTGGGTGAAAAATATGTGCCATCATGACATGCAACCCCAGTATTAATCAGGGACATGTAAATTGGAAAAAAATCATTTTCACAATCTGATGGATCAAAGTGGAATTAATAATATCTAATGGAGTGGAGGTGTTGGGAAATAAATCTCATACATTGTTGCTGGGAATGTACACTGTACAGCATTTTTTAAAGGAAATTTTGGAGGGTTGATTAAAATGCTGGAGACCTGAGCCTGAATCAACTTCATACCTCTTACCAAACCTAAATGTTCATCTTACCAAACCTAAATGAGCATTGTACAATTGACGCTCGAACAACTCAAGTGTTAAGAATGCCCACACTGCCCTGCCCCTAGCCCTGCACAGTCAAAAATCTGTGTATAATTTTTTGACTCACTGAAAACTTAACTCGGGTAGCACAGTGGTTATGTGTTGGACTGCGATCCTCAGAGTCAGCAATTCGAAACCACAGCTGCTTCTCAAAAGAAAGACAGGGCCTTCTACTGCAGTATACAGTTACAATCTCAGAAACTCAAGGGGCAGCTCCACCTTGTGCTAGAGTCACTATGAGTCAGCATCCACTCAATGGCAGTGAGTCTGGTTTGCTTTTTAAAAATTTAACCACTGACCAGAAGCCTTAGTGATAACATAGTCGATTAACACACATATTGTATGTGATATGTATTGCGTACGGTACCCACATAAAAGCTGCATTTTCAATGAGATGGAAAGGTATTTCGCTAAAAGTGCAGTCTTCGTTGCTGCAGTGACTGCTTCCTGGAGTTGTTACAGTGCTCTTTGTGCTGGATTCATTCACCTTTAACTGAACCAGCCACCACAGACGTCAAGCTATAATGGCTATCAAACAACTCACCTTCTTAAAGTGTCATGACTCTTCTCCGCTTCTTGAGAGAGCCTCCAGCACCACTAATGGCATGTTGTATGGGTCCCAGGGGTCCCAGTATTGCACTGAACATGATGGAGAATACACGAGAGGTATTTTCTGAGATTACTTTTCACCGAGATATGCAATTTATTAGAGAGATGAACTGCTCACATGGAGAAGATTAGCATCACAGAGTTCTTGGAACCCCAGTATGAGTGGACCTCTGCAGTTCAAACCTGTGATGTTCAAGGGTCAACTGAAATTATTCTCCAATATCCATTCTGTATCTCCTCTGTAGAAATCAAGTGGCTCCACTGATAGACTGCCACCGGCCTAAGCCAATCAAACATAATTCTGCTTCTTTTTGCCATTATTAATAATTCAGGCTAGGGAATTTAAAGGAGCCCTGGTGATGAACTGTTTATAGGTTGGATTATTTACCTGAAGGCCAGCAGTTCGAACACACCAGCTGCTTCAAGGGAGATGAAGCTTTCTAGTGCCATAAAGATTCACAGCCTCAGGAATCCAGAGGCACTGCTGTTCTCTCCTCTAGGCTCACTATGCGTCAGAATTGATGCACAGCACTGAGTGAAGGAATTTAAAATAAGCCCCAGCGAGTCAGTCCCATGACTGTGGCGATTGATTTGGAGGGGCAGCGGGGGCGGCGGGGGGAGGGAGGAAGTGGGAATCGTATTCAAATGTACAACTAGAGTGAAGTGGAAGGAAGCATTTCAGTTGTAGACTTCTCCTCTTCTGTCTGGAGACCCGGGTTCAATTTCTGGCCAGGGAACTTCATAAGCAGCTACCACTGCTGTGTTCACGGAGGACTGAGGACTGCTACAATGCTGAATGGACGTCAGCAGAGCCTCTGGACTAAAATGGGCTAGGAATTTAAAAGGCCAGGTAAGATCCTTCCAAAACTCAGTGAAAACTTTATGGAGGGCAACGGGTGGAGGCACTGCTCATCATGGGACTGGCACAGGGCTAGACAGTGTTTTCTCCATTGCACAGAGTTGCCATGAGTCTAAGGCTGACTTGGTGGCAGCTCACAAGAGTAAAGTAAAGCTGTGTGTGATGTCTGGGGACCACTTGCTTCATCTTCTGTAAATGCATGATAAAGAATGCCGCTCCAGGAGTTTAAGCTCCCAAAGTCTATACTGTCTAAGCAAACCATATGGATTCCAGATTGAAGCAGTCTGGACCATATATTTATTCCATCCAACTCTCGTGGTTCTATCATTGATTAAGTAGTAGTGAATACATTCCGCAAACTTGCTAATCCTTTAATATTAAAGGGTAACATTTCTACCTCATATGCTTATTGGTAGTTTTGTCACAGAAATACCTCTCTACTAGACAGTGTGAGGCAGACAGGTAACATAAGAGCAGCCACCAGGCTTTAGTGAGACTTCAAACTTAGTCAGGCCAAGGACACTGGGTACTGTTCTTGCCTGTGTGCATTCAGAATCTGACTCGCTCTCTCCTGGAGAGTTTGGGAACAATTTAACACTGTTCCCAAACTTGCTTTCCTACATAAAAATAAAAAATCAATGGGGAGACAGACAGGTGTATATATGTATAAACAAAAGCAGTGATGATCCGCAGAAGAGAGCTAAAGGCAGACTGAGGAAAGACAACCCGTTGAAACAGTGTTGTCACAGGGTGGAGGGATCGTTTAAAATTCCAAGATTGAGGGGGAAAGCTTTCCAGGTCTTAGGGCATTGGAGCTGGCTGCATGGAGGGAAACTGACGTCAAAACCTGATTGAGCGAGGACCCTACCCTGGTGTAGAGACAAGAAGACATGCAGAACTGAGAGGTTGTTTTCATTTCACTTGTTCATTATTATATTATTTCATGTTGATACACAATATCTTTTCTAAAACTATACTACAACTGTCCTCACATAAACAAGAAATTACCCTGTTTGCCAAGGTCCAAGGTCTAAAGTGAATAAAGTTATCATTGGGGTGTAGGACTTTTTCTCAAAACAACGAAAAATGCCATTTTATGGATGGGCTTTTATTTAGTTAACACTTCTCAGGGTATAGTACATTCAATATCAGATATCCAAACACATCTGTAAACACAAAGCTCTGAAATCACAGGTTATTTACAAATGACTTCAAGATCTGTAGTAAGGTGCTTTTCAGAAGGGCATGCTGAGACAGATATGCTGTATGTTAACTACAGTTTCAAGTTTGGAGCTACCAAGTGAAAAAATAAGATTCTTTAGAAAGTACTGTGAAAAAGGGATTTTTCAGTCACCTTGATGAGTGTTAAGACCTCCTTTTCTAATGAAGTAAGCTTAACACAAAACCATAGAGAAAAATCCAGTTGGTCCAACTCACTAAAAGTAGGCAGCCTTACAAGAAAGCAAGACATCTACACATACACTTGGGGTATGTTGTCAGGAGAGGCTTGTCCCTGGAAAGGGGCATGACCAGGCAGTGTTTTGTTCTGTTGTGCATAGGGTCACTATGCATTGGGACTGAGTCGACAACACCTAACAACGATGGCTTCCAGCATTAGGGTACTAGCCTTGTTGTTTCTCGAACTCTCTGTCAGGGAGTTATTATAGAGAGGAGGCCCTAGGAATGGAGTCGATCACATTTTTCAGTATCGTCTGACAGCTTAGTACAAATCCAGTTTTCTACACTGGCCAACGGTTAAAATAAAGGAACCAGTAATGTGAGAGTCACATCAGAGAACACATCTTCTATAGTCCCATTTCACTGTGAGGTCAGATATTCAACAAACACGTGATTCTGAATCGGGAGAACTAAATTTTAAGCATGAATCAGTCCCAATTTTTACCAAGTAACCATTGCAAGACATTTGATGACCAAGCATGCTGGTTGTATCACTAGCTATAAAAGAAAACTACCTTGCCACCAACCGCCCATAGCTGCTCATTTGAGTCAATGGTGAACCCATGTATGTGTCAGCGCAGACCTGGGCATCCTAGGAGTTTTCAATGGTTGGCATTTTTGAAAGTAGATCACCGAACCCTTTCTTGAGGTACCCGATGACCTTTCTCTGAATGGACTCAAACCCCTAATTTTGGGGCTATCAGTCCGGTATGCTAATTATTTGTACCACCTGGGTGTTCAGTTTCGGGAGCAAGTCTACCCACAAGCACCTGGACAGAAAGACGTGGCGATCTACTTTTTCCTTGAAAAGCCCCAAGGAAGCACAGTTCTACCCTGACACACGAGACCACCATGAGCCAGTGTGCTCCACAACGACCGGCTTCAGTCACCACATTTATATCCAAAGTTTCCAAAGAAAGAATGTATAGTTTGTTTCATATTTATTGGATACATATCATACGGTAGTACATACATTATGGATAGTCTCTTAATATAACAAATCCAAATAAAAACCATCTATGAAGCTCAGTAAAATATATTTATTAATTTTAAAACAAGCACACATACACACAGCAAACCCAATTTCCACCATCAGTATACATCCTATTAGTGGGTGACTAAATCAAACTGTTGTAAAGAGAGACTAAAACTTTGATTTTTAAAAAAGTATTATTTTGGTTAAGCATCTATAATCACAATTTTGAAAATCCTCTTTTCCTATTAAAACTGCCAAGGTTCTAATAAGATCTGTTCCTCAAGTCTCAATTTGGAATAGTAGTCAATTAGTTTTAATCCTTAATTCTAAAGTTCACAAAGTATTTGAATAAGAAAAATATACCAAAAGTATGTGTAGGAAATGAGAGGGAAACTGGTTCTAAGTCTCAGACACTGAGCTGGTATCTTCACACTGATCTATTAGCAATATTTCTCAAAGTCAAACTCAATAACAATAATATTTTCATGCAAAATCTATCAATACCTATATGCTAATTTTCTCAACATGTTAGCCATATCAATGTAGTCAAAACCCTAGTCAGAGGTGAAAAATAGAGCTTTAAAATCAAGACCAAATTTTAAGTTAACCACTGGTAGAGTTGTACAAGGCGCTCTGGTGGGGCAGATGTTAAGTGAGCAGCTGCTAACTGAAAGGTTAGTGGTTCAAACCCATGCACTGGCTCCTCAGAAGAAAAGTTTTGGCAATCTGCTCTCATAACAATTTCCACCTAGGAACCCTATGGGGCAGTTCTACTCTGCCCTATGGGCTGTGCAAGTCACATACAACACACACACAACACTAGAACTACCCTGTTTTGTTTCCTCCTGAATGTACCCAGTCTCTTAAGGCCCATGTGTCTAAGGTTAGAATTCAATATTAATTAAGTACTCTCGAGTAATATAGAAAAAGGATTAGTTACACGTTTGTGCTAAGTCCTAGATACTGACCTTTAGAAAAACAAGACACTGCTAATTGGTTAAGGCAAAAGACCCCACAAATTCTTGTCCCCTTAACAACCACTCCCTAATGTGATCAAAGCAGAGGGCAACTAGAATCCCTCTAGAAATAAAGAGCCTGGACCCAAATATTTTTAACCTTCTCACCTATTAAATTGCTGCCCAGTGCATTAGAAACAATGTGAGGATTGTGGCTAAGCGATTTTGTAATGTGTCGAAAACATTTTGGGAAGGCCCCAGTTGTTGAGGAAACAATGAGACAAGGCTCTCCTGCTGTGGACAGGGATGGTTATCCAGAGCAATGGATTGCTGTCCCAAAAGCTTCTTCAGAGAAGCACAATTCCATCCTGATCCACAGGTAACCCTGCTTCCCACCTCCGAATTTATACACAGACACAACCTAGGGGGCTTCAAAAACTTCATAGAAAACATCTATTCTCTTTTAATTCCATTTTCCCACAAACTTTTTGAAGGCTCCTTGGGTGTAATTTTGTCAATGAGAAATGCAGTACTCAACAACCACACACACCTACAAAATCATCTTCCTCAGACTTGTTCTAATCATTTCCCTTTACAAAGAAACATCAGCACCAGAACTTTACAATACAGAGGCCTCTCCCAGGCCCGAGTGGCATCGGTCATCAGAATGAAAAGTTTTCTTGTCAGAGACACCTACGTGTAGTTTTTAGAAGAAGAGCGGCAGCAAGCACAGATTCCCACAGTACACTGATCAAATATCAACAGCAACCACAGACACTGAGTATATAAGTCGATCCATGGAAAGCAATCACATATTGTTAATGCTAGAAACAAACGAGATGTTACGGAGGGTTTTTATAGATAAGTTAGGGTAAAGAAAACATTCTCTCTTATTGGTCCTACTTTTACTACCTACCCCCACCAACCACTCCTAAATAAATGCACACATTTATATAAGTAACACACCAAGTTCAATGCATTAAAAACATGACCTTTTATAATATGCTTCTCTCTTTTGACTCACTTTTAATCTTGGTAACCTTAAATACACAATCTAATAACAGCAAATATGCATTCGTGTTAACAAGAACCATCTCACTCTCCTTTCATTGGACACATCTTGAAGTAACGCCAGGTGACCTGAAAGGCGATGGGTTAGCAGCTGAGGGTATTTGTCTTCTCCTTTCAAAACATTTGGAAAGGAAGTCTTGTCTTTCCTTCTTCGGCAAGGTCTTTCTCAGGAAATACAGGCAGTTCAAGTGAGAACAATCAAAACCACAAATCTCTCCTCGTACAATGTCAGCATAAGAGGACGCCATCGCAAGCGCTAGAGCAGCATCTAGAAATGGAATTGAATATCCCTTGCTTTATCATGTTGTACACATTAATATGTATTCTAAGAAAACCTGAAATCATGTATCAACACCAAGATTTTAATAATAACCTTTAGGATAATTACTAATAAAAATAAGGAAGGTAAACACACTATCATCATTTCAATAATGACTAATTTTGACAAAACAGATTCTGAATTTTGTAGGGCCTTTATACAGTTTATAAGAATTAGCTCATATATTAATTAATTTGTACAAATGAACTCACATGGCTCACAGTAAAAGACTCCAAAGAGTTTGCACTTAATTCTAGCCTCAATCCAAGAACAATTAGTTCTTATGACACGACCCTACTCCATAATCTCCCTCATGAAGAGATGGCTGAAGATATGGGTGCTAACACAAAGTGTAATGACGAAATCAGACGGTGCAGTGCTGAGCTATCAGAAAGAATAGTGTCTGGGGTCTTAAAGACTTGTCTTCAAACAAGCAGCCATTTAAGTGAGGTATCAACTAAGTTCACAGGATGAAACACAACAGCCTGTGTGATCCAAGTATTGTAAATAATAAAACCCAAACCTGAAGGAAGGACTAGTACTGGAGCTTAACTCGTGAACTCCCTCCCAGTTTGCAGAAGACTATGGATGACAAGACTCCCTGCCAATGTGTTGCTGCCGACTTACTGCCGACTCTATAGGGCAGAGTAGAACTGCCCCGTGGGTTTCCAAAACTGTTAACTGTTTATGGGAGTAGAAAGCCCCATTTTTTCTCCTGTGGAGTGGCTAGTGGCCTCGAACTGCTGCTCTTATGGATTGCAGCCCAATGTGTAAACACTATGCCATTTGCAGGGTCCCACAGGGATTAAGCCTTCAATGAATCCGCTCTGAGCATAGTCCTGAGATGTGAAATGCCTTGCTAGAGTCGATTATGAGAAATGTAGTTAGCTAAAATGTAACACCTTATCATTTGTTCCTTTTTGACTCATTTTAGAGTTGTTTCCATTTCTAATATTTTCTAATTCCTTCCAGTTGAGGTTGTTCTGTTTTGTTTTGTCACAGTTGTTTTTTTTGTTTGTTTGCTTCCTGTTTATATTTTATATGTGATCCAAGATAGGTAAATCTATAGACAGTAACTCAATTGGTAATTACCTAGGAGCATGGCAAGAGAAGCTGCAGGGAAATGGGGAGCCAACAACAACGAGTACAAGACGAAAATGTTGTGAAATTGATTGTGATGATGACTGCACAACTCTTCTGAATATGATACACTGATTAAATTATATCATTTGCAAATTATATGCCAATAAAACTGATGTTAAATATTTTACTTTTAGAAATTTGGAAGATTTTACAAGCATCTGGTCATATGACTGTATTTCATAAAACTTTCCCAGGTCCTTGGGAGGAACCAGTACAAGTGAGGGATTAGTCTAAGTTGAAATGTAAACTTCATAGTAAATTTGCTTTTAATATCATTGACATACAAAGTGCTTCATGGAAGTTAACAGATTAATTCTGATAATATAGTTATGTGAATGTGGGACTTTATTAACATCAAGTTTCACTTAGAATTATTGCAAAATTAAACAATGAGTGACTAACCTGATGTCGAATGGCAAATCATCACTCAAAAGGTTTTTATCTTTTTGAATATTAAAAAGCTATATTTAAAAGGAAGACAATCATTTGAGATAGTGCTGCTACTTTTTTACTGGGAAAAAGACTGCCAAGCAATCATTTACTCTGTCTCAGTTTATAATACCATAGGGTAAATGACTGATGAGGGAAATAAATACATATTTTTCTGGAACACCTTGCTAATCTAAATTCACATTACTGTTGTGGTAGTTATTTAATTGCTTGTCAATTTGAAGATTAAGAGTGAAGGGGTGGTGTCTAGTCTGTCAATCAGAACACAGCCAATGAGGCCTCTGTGGGCATGCCCTTCCCCTGAGGATTCTGGGACAAACTCTGGTATTTCCTCCTTGGAGGTGGGAGACACTTCACTCACTTCCTGCGAGACATCCCTGAGGAGAAGCCACAGGGACCAACCCTGATGCAGCCAGAACCCTGGACCTAAAGGAGCCACGAGGAGACCCCTACCAGTGCTGAGATGCTGACACCACCACTGGATCCAAAGACTTTCTACCCACTGGCCTGTGACATTCCTGCATTTGGTGTCATTGCATGTGTTTCTTGAGTCTGAAGAGGACTTCATAAATTGGTATCAGACATATGGGCTAATATCAGACTTAGGGGCTTGGACTGGACTGGGTTGGGATGCTTTCTAATGTACAATTACTCTTTCTATAACTCTCTCTTATACACATATGAGTCTCTATGGATTTGTTTCTTTAGTCTATCCAGACTAACACAACTGTAGTCAATAAAATATAGAATAGCTTAAGAGGAAATTATATAAACACTATGAAAAAGGATTTCATCCAGAGACAAATGCTACTTTTGTTTTTTAAATGGTATAACTCTATCAGGGGTTTTAATGGAATCAATCACCAGAGAAGGCGTCAGATAAAGAATGTGGTTTTCAGCAAGCTATAAAATATTTCCCCTGAAAGGTTGCACAGATTTTCAGAATGAAAAATCAGACCTACCCAATTCCGAATCAAAATAATCCTCAGTGCTGGTGTTCCACTCGAGGGAAGTCAGCCTCTGAAGCATCTGACGGGGGAGACCCTGCTGCCTATGAATTTAAACCAAGTATCATAAGTTCACGCTCCCTAGATATCTCAATTGTACTAGTACACACATCAGCTATTTGGAATGAACTATTTATAGTTCAAGTTACTTATACAGAAGGGGATAAAATAAGGAGACATTATTCTGTGCCTTATTATTTTACACACACGTTAAATGGTATTTCAGATCTGCAATAGGAGCATAAGCCTACTATAAGTCATAATCTTTCCCACTTAACAAAACCAAAACATTCTCCCTTTATAATAGAAGGTTTTGTTTGCTCTTTATTCCTAAGGCATTGCCTTAAGGACAGACTCTAGTTACAGAATGGCAAGAAAGTATAAGTGGTTAAAACTATGAGATGAACACCCTTTTCTAGCCATAGGAACCAAAATGGGGGTTCCTATAGAGCAGCGGTTCTCAACCTGTGGGTTGCGGGCCCTTTGGGGGAATCAAACAACCCTTTCACAGGGGTTGCCCAATTCATAACAGTAGCAAAATTACAGTTATGAAGTAGCAATGAAAATAATGTTATGGTTGGGGGGGTCACCACAGCATGAGGAACTGTATGAAAGGTTGGCAGCATTAGGAAGGCTGAGAACCACTGCTGTAGAGTAAAAAGTATGGGGAAAATCCTGGTAGAAAGAGGTAACAGCAAACGGGAATCTTTTAATTCTGTCTGTGAATTCACAGAAGTCTTAATCTAATCCCTGAATTATGGATGCCTTAGATAGATCAAAGCTAACATGGTAAACACTTGGAGAACTGAGATTTAAACCACCTCTCAGGACAGCACTGAAGCTACAGCCCGGGGAGAATGGCAGGTCTATCCAGACTACACAGGGAGCAAACTAATAGGGAAAGAGAGACCCAGGCAGGGTACAGCATCCTGGCCCACCAAGCTTCGAGGAGGACATTCTCACTGGAGCAGCTAATGCACAGAGAGGACGGTAGGGTCGGCCTTACCACGAGACACAACGTCCCCTTACTGATCCACAACTACTATGGGGGGCGGGGAGGGGACAGAACCACAGACACAGTGAGGGAATTGTGCCCAGTCTGACACACACACGTATAACATGAAGGGTGTGCAACAGAGCAGCAAGGGGAACTCTGAAAATAGACTTCAGACTCCAGGGGCAGGGCTTGGCACTGCATCAAACCCAATCTGAAGACATTCATAGGCCAGTTTTTGTTTTTGTTTTGTTTTGCTCATGTCTATCTATATAAGATAGACAGGATAAACAATTCCGAGGAGAAAACAATGGGATGAGGAGTGGGGGAGGGGAAGGAGAGAGGAATCAACAAACCCAGGGATAAGAAAACAGTAAGAGATTTAAAATCAGTGCTGAGGAGGGCACAGAATGCATGATGGGGTTCGATCAGGTGCAATGTAGCTGAGAGAAAGTAGAAAGAGCCGAATGAAGGTCGAACATGATAGTGGGACAGGAGGAAAGTAAAAGGAAACAGATGAAAGAACTAGGAAACAAAAGGCATTTATAGAGGTCCAAATACAAGCATGTACATATGTAAATATATTAATATAGAACAATAAGGATATAGTTCCATGTACATATATTTTAGGTTAAGTATTAAGGTAGCAGACGAACACTGGGTCTCTACTCAAGTCCAACGCAAGTACACTTTGTTCTAATAACCCAGTATTCTGTGATGCTCACCTTCCCAACACGAGCACCGAAGACAAAATAGGTGCATAAACTACTGTGGTGAAGAAAGCTGATGGTCCCTGTCTATGACAGATAAAGCACCTGGGGTCTTAAAAAGCTTGAAGTTAAGCAACAAAGTTCACATGGAAGAAGCATGCCAACCCATGTGATCACAAAGTGTCAATGGGATCAGGTATCAGGCATCAGAAGACCCAAAACAAACAATCATTTTGATGCAAATAAGGAGGGTCAGAATGGAGACCCAAAGCCCATCTCTAGACCCTCACAGAAGGGTCACAAGGAAGGGATGAGCCAGCCAGGGTGCAGGACAGCACCAATGAAACACATAACTTTCCCCTAGTTCTTTAATGCTTCCTCCCCCACTATCATAACCTCAGTTCTACCTTACAAATCTGCCTAGACGAAAGCATGTATACTGGTACAGATAAGAGCTCTTGACACTTGGAATCCAGAACAGATAACCCTTCAGGGCCAATAATGAGAGTAGCAATACCATGACGGGAGGGGGAAGGTGGGGGTGGGGGGAGGAGGAGAAAGGGAGATCTGACTGCAATGACCGCTGTACAACACCAACACCCCACCCAGGGGGACAAACAACAGGAATGTGGGTGAAGGGAGACAATAGACAGTGTAAAATATGAAAATGAAAATAAGTTCACAAGGGTGGGAGGTTAGGGGAGAAAGGGGAAAAAAGAGGAGCTGATACCAAGGGCTCAAGTAGAAAGAAAATGTTTTGGAAATGATGATGGCAACATATGTACAAATGTGCTTGATACAACTGATGTATGGATTGTTATAAGAGCTGTAAGAGTCCCCAATAAAATGATTTATTAAAATAAAAATGAATAAACCACCTCACAAAGACAGTAAGACAGAACTTAGAGTGTATAAACAACTTGGGTGGCTGCCTTCTAAAACACAAATATCAACATTCCTCAAAGGATTGAGAGCCCAGAGGTTATACAATGAAACGTTCACAATGTCGAGAATATCCAAAAGTACTGGATTAAAAAAAAAAATCTAGGAAAGTGTGACCAATTCCAACAGGAAAAGATAATCACAAATATCAATCCTATTATGGATCTGACATTAGAACCACCATACGAAGATTTTTAAAGCAGTCATATTAAGTTATATAAAATTAAAAAAACAAAATTTAAAAATAATAAATTAAGAACTAAAAATATGTAGTATCTGAAATTCAGAAAATTAGATGGGCTTAATGACAGAATTGACATAATAAAGAAAACTTGAAAATAATACATCAATACAAATTGCCTAATCTGAGGAATAGAGGAAAACATTTAGCAAAAAGTTAACAGAACCTTAGAAGCCTTTAGGAAAGTGCTTAACATGCTAAGATGTCTATCATTGAATTTTCAGAAGAAGATCAAAAAGGTACTGCAGTGAACAAGTATTTGAAGAAACAATGACCAAATGTTCCCAAGTTTGATAAAAGACATAAATTACAGATTCAAGAATCTCAACAAACCCAACACAAATTCAAAGAAAATTTTAGCTAGACACATCATACTCAAACTAATAACAACACTAAAAGACTAAACTTTGAATGTAGCTAGACAAAAATGAAACAAGGACTAACTATTCAAATGCCTAATAATTTTTCCACAGAAATCAGAGATTATAGTGCTGGAAACAAACAACTAACTCAAAGTCTGGCAAAATAAAACCATTCTCAAATTAAAAATAGCAAAGAGAAGTTATCACTATCAAACCTACTATGTAAGAAGTACTAAAGAAAGTTTCCAAGAGGACCTTGATCTTCATCAGCAAGTGCTTCAAGTCCTCCTCACTCTCAGCAAGCCAGATTGTCATCTGTATATCATTGTTGTTATCAAGCCTTCCTCCAATCCTGATGTTGCTTCTCATTCATATAATTCAACTTCTCTGATGAGTTGCTCAGCATACGGATTGACTGAATAAGTATAGTAAGAGAATACAACCCTGATGCACACCTTTCCTGATTTTTAAAAACTATGCAGTATTCCCTGGTTCTGTTTGTATAACTGCCTCTTGATCCCTGCACAAGGTCCTCATGAGCACAATGATGTGTTCTGGATTTCCCATTCTTCTCAACGCTGTTCAGAGTTTGTTACAATCTGCATATCAAATGCCTTTGCATAGTCAATAGAGCACAAGTAACCATCTTTATGGTATTCTCTGCTTTTAGTCAATATCCACCTGACATCAGAAATGATGCCCATTGTTCCATATCTCTTCTGAATCCTCCCTCAACCTCTGGTAGCAACCTTTCAATGTACTGCTGCAACCATTGTTGATCTTTGGCAAAATTGTACTTGCTTGTGATATCAATGATATTATTCTATAATTTGAGCACCTCTGTTTGGTCACCTTTCTTTGAAATGGAAAAGAAAATAGGGATCCCTTTCAGTCGGTTGGTCAACTAGCTGTTTTCCAAGTGGCTTTGTATAGACAAGTGAGTGCTTCCAGTGCTTCATCAGCTGGTTAAAACATTGCAATTATTATTCTATTAATTCCTGGAGCCTTATTTTTGGCTAATGCTTTCAGTGTCATTGATTCTTGCTCATGCTACTTCTTGAAATAACTGAATGCCAATTAGTTGTTTTTGGTATAGTAACTCTATATTCTTTCCATCTTCTTTTGATGCTTCCTGTATCATTCAATATTTTCCCCCCTTAGTTCTTTCAATATTGCAATTCAAGGCTTGAATTTTTTTCTTGAGTTCTTTCAGTTTAAGATACGCTGAGATATGGTGCTACAGCAAACCGTGTTGGAGAAATCAGATGGTGCCCAGCTATCAAAAAGGGACTGGGGGGTCTTAAAGGTTTGTCTTCAAACAAGCAACCATCTAAGAGAGGAGTCAACTAAGCCCACCTGGAAGAAGCACTAGCCTATGTGATCCAAGGATGATAAATAATAAAATACAAATACAAAGGAGGGAATCATAGCACCGCTGTAACCAATTAAAATTTTGGAGTAGACAAGCAGTATATTAAGACTTTAGTTCCTAAATGACAAGAGCCTTGTTGGTGCAGTGGTTATGTACTGGGCTGCTAACCACAAGGTAAACGATGTGAAAACTACAGCCACTCTGCAGGAGAAAGATGAGACTTCCTGCTCCTGTAAAGTGTAACTCTTTTACAGTCTCAGAAACTCACAGGGGGCAGTTCTACCCTGTCCTATAGTATCACCAGGAGTAGGCATCTACTCGATAGTAGTGAGTAATAGTAGTTCCTAATTGTAGAATGTGTGGATTAATCATCACACAAGAGTTTGTCCAGTTTTGATGAAATATTGCTACAGAAATTGTTGGCAAAGGGATAAGGTAAAGCAATCAAGTCTCACTGCCACTGAGTCGAGTCTGACTCATAGGAACCCTGGTAGTGTAGTGGTTTCGTGCTGGGCTCCTAACTTCTAAATCAGCAGTTCAGAACTACCAGCCACTTTGTGGGAAAAAGAACAGGTTTTCTACTCCCATAAAGAGTTAGTCTTAGAAACTGACAGTGGCAGTTCTAATCTGTAGTACAGGGTCACTATGAAATAAAATAGTAACAGTTAATAAGCCCTTTCCTCCGAATCCCTGGGCTATTTTACTATCTTCAACAATTATAATCCCCTTGTTTGTTGGCATGCTCTGGTAGTGTGGTGAATTAAGCACCCACTAAGCTAACTGAAAGATCGGTTATCCAAACCCACCAGCTATTCTGCAGAAGAGATGAGGCGGGTGGCTTCCATAAGATTACAGCTTG